AACAAATCTTTCTTTCTCTCTCTCTCTCTCTCTCTCTCTCTCTCTCTCTCTCTCTCTCTCTCTCTCTCTCTCTCTCTCTCTCTCGCTCTCTTTCTCTTTCTCTCTCACTCGCTCTCTTTCTCCTTTTCTACCTTTTCTCCTTTCTCTGCTCTCCCTGTCTATTCCTCTGTGTGTTCATTTGTGTGTATTTTTGTGAGTAAGATAATTTAATATCATATTATAATCTATTATCTCTTGAAGCAATTGAATAGAGCTGAAAAGCACGATTACATTACATTTTACAACAAAACTGCTCGTTAAAATCATACTTCTATGAATAGAGAAGAAATTGTATGACATGTGAATATCTTTAAAAAGTTCAAAGCATACTTTTCGGTTTCCAAAATTGACGCACTTTATGCACAAAAGAAAAAAAGCATTTGTGCAAAATGTATTATACCGTGCAAGAAGTACGTTACTTTTAAAGAAAGAAACACATCACAGTAAAAAAAAGTACGCATCTACCCTAACAAGTATAAAACTTGACATTCATTGTGTCACAGAAAGAGTTTAATTCTAAGACGAGCACATTAACAATGTCAAAGAAAACATTAACGTCTTTTTTGGTATATCATTATATCAATACTAGCTGGGTTCGATGAACGAACTTAAAATAATTGTCGATCATCAAGTCATAGTGGAAATAGTGCGCACAGCTTGTGAACGGAAACCTCTCTTGTTTACAAAGGAGTTTTAGAAGACGGACTTGCCCAATAATAGATATATTAAACGAATCTAATGAAAAACTGAAAATTTAACTACAGTGACTTCAGGCTCCTCAATAAAACTGTGCACCCTTTAAATGATTCTGAACCACAATTAATTTTGTCAAATTCAAAAGTTAAGTGGTTCGGAAGCTTTTGGCGGCCAAAGTGACGGACTTTCACTAAATATAATATGTTGAGATAACCACGACGTGCTCTGGGTATATGGCTTTAAGCTTGACTTGTCTCCCTCTTTTTCTGCCAAGAACGCCGTATCGCTTTTCTGACGTTTTTAAAGAACGCGAACGCGTCAGCTACAACGAACCACGTCAAGGACGCCATGAGACATGCCCAGGCTACCACCCCCACGGCTGCTGCAGTCAGTCTCTGGTCCATCATGCTGGCCCGACGCCGGCGAGCTCGGCTTGTCTCGTTTGGCTGGACGCGCAGCTCCGAAAGAAGCTTTTCAAATTCAGCGGGGTTGTCCTTCAACAAGCCCGGGGAACACGAGCAGACACAGAGTTCAATTGTGGATATGTTCTCTGCCGTTTGGGTATATGAAGGTGGGTTATTTGTCTCCGCCATTTTTTGTGTTGTAGTCAGCACGGTGGAAAGTTCGCTGGTCTCTGCAAAAGTTTCTGTGGAGGAGCTGATCTGTCCTGTAAGAGAAGAAGTTGAGTGAAAAGTGTTGTTACTTGAACATAAAAACAATGTTTAACACTAACCTTCTATCTGCCTGTGCCTACAACAGGGGTTAGCCAAACCTGTTTCTCTCCAGATGGTGATCCTTTCCTCAGCGATGGGGCCCCGATGCGTTGATATCTCACACGTTACACAGAAATAAACCTAGGCTCTAACTTGTCTTTTCTCCACCCGAACTCTCAGCAGGCCTCCTCTGCCTTGCTACAGCTCTCCCCTCTAAAGTCTAACCTGTAGTAATCCAGACTGCTTTTATACACTTGCACCAAACAATACAACTGAATTGAGACTCACACGTTACCCACTCTCACACTTTCAGCCAAACAGTACAATAGACTAGGCCTAACCCCCTGCCACTGACCAACACGTCAGATTGCAAATTAAACAACCAAATAGACCACCAAGTATTACCGCCCTCAGTGGAAGTCATGGTTGAAAAGTACGTGGTGTGACTTGAATCTTCCGAGGTGATCGATGAAGTAGTTGTGGTGTCGCTCTCCGTTGTCTGGTCACTCGATGCCTTTGCGAGAGGGACGGTGATGCTTTTCTCATTGTTCATTTTCTCGTTCGTCATTGTATTTGTGAAGGGGACGATGGGGGTTGGTTTAGTCGTCGAGCAGCCTTGTTCAACTAGGAAAGGGAGTCGAAAATAAAGACGACATGTTGATTACAAACATTAGTGACTAGTGAGAGGCACAAGGCTCTGAATGGGAATTCTGTTGCACTGAGAAGCACGCAGACAAAAATCCATTGACAAGTGACAAGGGATTAATTATGCTTCATGTACCCGGAACGACCGAGGAATAAAAATTTGGAATCGACACGTCAGCAGCTAACAGAGTTTGCGATTATTAAATGATCTTCAATCATACAGGTTGTAAGATTACAGATTGAAACGTTAAATTGCAACTTGTACAACGGAGAGACCAAGCGCGGCAACAGCAAAAATATAATACTGTCAACAGCAATAACAAAGCCAAAAAGAATAATAAAGTCAACAAAAATAACAACGATGATGATGATGATGATGATGATGATGATGATGATGATGATGATGATGATGATTGAACGTCTCTCTGTTCTCAAAGCATTGTTCCATTAATTGAAAATAGTTGTTATTTGAGTGACTGGTTTCGTTGGTATCGTTCTGTCCTTGTAATGCTTCAAGCCCTGAGCAAGATAACATTGTCAAGCTTAAATAATTTCGCATCGCTTTCATAGATTGTTCTTTCCGCCCCTGGGCACATTATAATATTATTTTGTATTTGATTCCATCATAGCAAACTGTGATACAGAAAACGCACTGTCAGTAATGAAAATGATACGGACAGCATGAAAAAATATCGATTTGCGTTTTTCAATTCTTTCGAAATCATATCTTCCAGGAGTGCATATCTATAAGCTAAAACGCTCCTAAATCTATTTCTGATTTATCCAAAATGAAAATGAAAGTTTCCATCAGCTGCGCTATTTTTTCATAGTCATTTCTGTCTGTGCGAGTTTGTCACTGTAAAATAGAAGGAAACTTGATCTGTTTTGATCCAAACAACCAATCGCAATTAATTGTTTTCGATTTTAGCAAAACTGGTGTCTTGATATTCTGCCAGATAGGATTGTACACTGCGCAAGAAGCTTCCTCGGCGTGATTAAGCAGTACTCTCTCTTAAAGCAATTGGGAAAGAAGTTTTGAATCAAGTCATAAAATCTTAGACAATATTATGGTGTGCACGAATAGAGGTGATTTCGCGAACCATTCAGTCTTCGTTGATCGTTGTTACTGATTAGTACTTTTGAGCAGTTCAGACTCCCACAAAGTTATAAACTCTGTTGTATGACTGAACAAATAAAACTAGGGCTGGAGTCTGTTCGATTAATCGAAGGCTTACGAGCAACGGACGGCTTGTGCCAGAGGCTTGCGAGCAGGCTTGAGCTTTGCCCGCTTCCGGAGTTGCTACTCGTGGACGGCGGACGGCGGACGGGCTTGCTGATTTGTGTCGTGACGTCACAAACTCTTGTTTACTGAGTATGCGATACTTCTGCCCGCGTGCCGCACGCTGACAAGCCCTAAATAACCCTCACACTTCCAGCGATGGCACTGTTTGGGGAGGGGAGGGGGTGGTATGGCTGGCAAAGCAAGAGGTGTTCGCCACCCCTCGCTTTCCGTAGAGCCCGCCCGTCCCCTTACGCCTCCTGTCGTGACAGGGTTTTATTTGTCTTATTTTTATTTTTTATTTCTTTTTGGTTCAGTTTTTCGTTTGTTTGTTTGTTTTGTTTTGTTTTGGGGTTTTTTGGTTTGGGGGGGGGGGGATTGCGTTTTCTTTATTGATTTTCTTGGCGTAATTCGACATCATAAATAATATTTGTATGATAGAACATGCACAATACATGCATAATATCAGTTACAGTGCAGCAAGATGTTTTTCAAAAGTTATAGGCCTACAATGTAATTAACAATGTGATATAATTTACCTTAACAATGATCTTCTGATAGGGAACAAGTCAAATCAAAAGTGTTTTACATTGTTCAGAAACAAAATCACGATTGTCATCCCCTCCCCAATGCTTTCTCTTCAACTTCAACTTGTTCTAAGTGTCGGGGTGGGAGTGTAAGTGTGGTTTAGGCGAGTGGTTAAATTAAACGCCACGAGATGCTAACAATACTGATTTACTTTGTCAGTTAAAAATTGTTTGTAAGTTCACACCTTTATTCTGCGTCGATTGCAAGCAGGGAGGGGAAGGAAGAGGGGGACAGACACGAGTGGCTTCGCGGATTGCAAGTTAGTGAGGGGACTTGAAGCTTAGGCTAGACTCAACGTATCATGCTGGTGATTTGATTTGATGATTTGACCTAGTGATTTGAGGCTTGTGACTTGAACTAGGGGCTTGCGAGCACGAGCGTGTTTGCTACCGGGGTACAGCCCTAAATAAAACATGTAACTCTACAACATTGTCCGAGGTTTCGCCGTCTTGATTTTCCTCGAATGATGCGTTGATTGAGGGGTTGCTAAAGGGCGACTATGTGTGGCTGTAGGAACTAAACTTTCACGTGTTCACATCGTTCCAAAACTGTTTTGTGTTAACTGTGGGTTGCATTTTTATTGGGTAGCTATTAGTAGTTACAATAAATGGTTTTGTTAGATTTATTGGTTTACCGAGTTATGGGAGTAGTAGGTCGTTCACCTTATGTCTGCTGCTGATTATGATGATGTTGTTGTTTCTGCTGATGTTGCTGCTGCAGATGTTGTTGTTGCTGCTGGTACTGCTCCTGCTACTGATGATGATGATGATGATGATGATGATGATGATGATGATGATGATGATGATGATGATGAAGATGACTTCTAAAGCATGGGAGGGGGAGGGGGGCACGCCATTTTTGCAAATCCGTTGTGGCGCGAGACAGCATGACATTCCGGTGAAATGGAGGGGAAGGGTGGGACATTCTAACTAAAACAGCTTAACGCAGTAGTAGCTCTGCCAGCATTTAGCGCCCAACTATTAAATACAATTTCCTTTGCACGAGCGTTGTAGACAGATGAGGGCAGCATGAAAAAACACTGATTCAGTATAAATGGCTCAAATCTTTTTTCAATTCTTTTGAAATCATATTATCTTGTAGGAGTATAGATCTATAAGCTAATACGCTCTTAATTTTCTTAAATCGATTTCTGATTTATCCAAAACGAAAATGAAAGTTTGCATCAGTCGTATCCCTGTCCGTGCGAGTTTGTCAAGGTGAAATAGAAAGGAAACTTGATAATAATAATAATATAATATTGATGATGATGATGATAATAATAAT